CTCTCTCTCTCTCTCTCTCTCTCTATATATATATATATATATAGAACAAAAAAAGAAGCAGGGTCATGCTCTCTTGCCCAGGCTGGAGTGCAGTGGCATGACCATGGCTCACTGCAGCCTTGACCTCCTGGGTTCAAGCAATCCTCCAGCCTCAGCCTCCTGAGTAGCTGGGACTAAAGGTGCACACCACCATGCCTAGTTATTTGTTACTTTTTTTTTTTTTTTGTAGAAACGGGGTCTCACTATATTACCCAGGCTGGTCTCAAATTCCTGGCCTTAAGTGATCCTCCAGCCTCGGCCTCCCAAAGTGTTGGGATTACAGGTGGGAGCCACCGTACCCAGCCCTCTCCTGTTGTTATTACTATTGCAGTTGGTATTGTTGTTGTCATTTATGAAAGTACTTCACAGTCTCCCTGACCGAAGCCAGGGATGTACAGGAATTGGCTTCAAAGGCTGCTGTTTCATTGAATTAATAATAGCAGCTGGGTAGGTTGATTCAATCTCCTCTGGGACTCAACTGTAAACACCTATAAACTTATAGTGGTTCCGTGAGGAAGATGCCGTTGTCCCATTTTCCCGAAGAAGAGACTGAGGCTCAGAGTGGAAGAGCCACAGCCTGGCTAGGAGACTTGAATTGTCGGTGTCTGGCTGGTCAGTCCCTGGGGAAAACTGGGTTGGGGGAACCGGGGGATGCAACACCCCCAGCTCCCCAGACCCCTTCCAGTTCATGCTGGGTCAGGAGGGAGTAGTCACAGGGCGCCAAGGCTCAGTCAGCTGGCACAGGCCGTTCTGGGCTCCCACACTCAGGACTGGACGCCAGGATACGTGTGTGTGTTCCTTGGACGACGGTGAGTGGAAGAGTTGGCAGTGCTCACCGCAGGTTGCAGGCAGACACCCTTTCCCAACCGGACTCGTGAGGTTGGGTGCAAGCTCACTCCAGGGTGCCCACGATGGCCTGTGTCTGAACCTACACTCACAGGCTGAAACGCATACACATGCCCATACCCCGCTATGCAGTTATAGTCACAGCTGGAGACATGTTCACACGCATGCACACACATACTGCATGCCATGGACACAGAGTTGCTTGCAAGAAGACAGGTGAGTCCATAGAAATGCCTCCTATGGCCGGGTGTGGTGGCTCACACCTGTAACCCCAGCACTTTGGGAGGCCAAGGAGGGTGGATCACCTGAGGTCAGGAGTTTGAGACCAGCCTGGCCAACATGGTAAAACCCCATCTCTACTAAAAATACAAAAAATTAGCCAGGCGTGGTGGTGCATGTCTGAAATCCCAGCTATTTGGGAGGCTGAGACAGGAGAATCGCTTGAACCCAGGAGGTGGAGGTTGCAGTGAGCTGAGATTGTGCCACTGCACTCCACCCTAGGTAAGAGAGAGAGAGACTCCATCTCTCAGATGACCCACCTGCCTCAGCCTCCCAAAGTGCTGGGATTACAGGTGTGAGCCACTGCACTCGGCCTTATTTTTTTTTTATTTTTTCCTTTGAGACGGGGTCTCACTCAGCCATCCAGGCTGGAATGCAGTGGTGCAATCTCGGCTCACTGCAACCTCTGCCTCACCAGCTCAAGCAATCCTCCCTCCTCAGCCTCCTGAGTAACTGAGATTACAGACATGTGCCACCACACCCAGCTGTTGTTGTTTTTTGAGACAGAGTCTCCCTCTGTCATCCAGGCTGAAGTGCAGTGATGTGATCGTAGCTCGTTGCAGCCTGAACCTGCTGGGCTCAAGTGATCCTCCTGCCTTGGCCTCCCAAAATGGTGGGAGCCACCATGCCCAGCCACTATCTGCTTTTTATAGAAAGAGAATGTGGAGTTCAGACGGGTGCAGTGACTTGCCCAAAGTCAAAAGGTACAATGACAGAGCCAGGAACCAAACTAAGGCCAGTGTGGCTCAAAGTACTGTTTTCCATACACATGCATGCACACACGCACACACACATACACACACGTACACACATATATACAGACATGCACACACATACACACAGTATATATACTGTATATATATACACACATATAGTATGTATACACACTATATATGTAAATATAATGATATCTATTATTGAGAAATAGTTCATATACCATAAAATTCACCCCTTTAAAGTGTTTAACTCAGTGGTTTTTAGTATATTCACAAAGTTGTGCAACCATCACCACTATTGAATTCCAGAATATTTTCACCACCCCCAAAAGAAGCCCTGTCACCATTAGCAGTCACTCC